CACACCACACACACACACACACACAGTACACACAAAATGCACACAGATTTAACTTTCGCGTTCCTTGTTTAAATCCCCACTTCGAAAAGATAAAAGGCACATTTTAAACTAGGCCTAGTTTTATCATCACATTACGTAGTGTACACTGATGACTGGTGATTGTAAGAAGCGATTCTCGCTAACAGCGAAGCTTTGCTTACATTGGTTTTGGAGTTTGTTTGCACAATGCTGGAAAGGTTTCCTTCGACTTCGAACACCCAAAACTGCGTTCACGCGATAAAAACCACAACAGCAGCTGCTGTTCTTGTCCCGAACACTCGTGGTATAATATCACACCAGAGGAGGGCCCCTCAGCTTTTGCCCCTCTCGAGCTGGGAAGACTGTCCGCTCTCGACGCAACGTGCACGCTCTTACACACAGACGCGCACACAAACACGTTGGGAGACAGGGAGAGAGACTGACAGGCTACGCAGCGCGTTCGCTCTACTTCAGCGCAAAATGGCATCTGGGCTACAAACAAGGGAGAGAACACACCACGTTCTCTGACTGGGAGGATGATGCGCGTGAATCGAGTCAGCTGGAGAAAATCGATTACTCGTTTCTTTGGTCGGAGTTCGGAGCATCATTTTTTTGTCTCTTCGGCCGAAAGGAGAAATACCTGTTTTATAGCAGTGACAACTTTAAGCCTCAAACACAATTTTTTTAGATTCGATTTTTTTCCTCTTGTTTTGTTAGATCTATCCTCGTTCCTCGTACTTTGGCCGCAGATGATTCGTCGCTCATAGTTTGATGAGCAGAGACCTAGGCATAGACAAAACTTACGAACGCTTCTATGGATTAGGCTATTACCTTGCAGGTTTTTAAAAATCCCTCAACGACAAAAAAAAAAAGCAAACAAGCAAGCAAGCAAGCAAGCAAGCAAGCAAGCAAGCAAGCAAGAAAAAAACAACAAACGTGGCCTATGGCAGCCAGTACTGCCCTGCTTGCCCGCGCCACGGGTCAAGGTAGGTAGAGGCAGGCCAAGGAGAGGTAGGTTGACATAGCTACCTTTTTGCCCCATTTTCCTCACTCATAGCTCTGCTTTGAAATTTATTTTTCCTTGGGAAGTTGGGTCAGGCAGTTGTGTATTTTGATACCGCTATCATAAGCTTTATGTTAGTAATTGACTGTCAAAGATTCTAAGTTGCCAATCGGAAGCTGACTCCGGTTGGTCCTATTTCTTTTCCTTTCCCTTTATTGCATGTTTCCCTCTCCTAAAAGACCGTTTTCGCTTTGATGGTCCCAAAACAAAGACAAAACCAAACATTTTTTAACCAAAGGCAGGAGAGAATTAGAAACATTCTTTCCAATCTACCATTAGATTCTATGTGTACGTGAAGGAAGAAATAAGAATAAAAGAATACATGTACAGCCGAGACTGTCCAAAACGCCACCCACTTGCTGGGAGAAAAGTGCTCGTGTTACACTATTGGTTACACCTAGTGCACACTGCACACTGCTCTTCGAATTCAGTCGAACTGAATTGGGGCCAACGAGATTGTCCTAAATGCAGGGGCAAAAGCTACTATTCTGGCCCAATACAACCTAATTTTTTTTTCCAGGTTGTGGTGCTTCTCCTGGTCAGGTCTTCTTTTTGTAACAAAAAAAGTCAGTAGGCGGGTTACTTTGAATTTGGATGTTTAGGCAAACCTACATTGAGGAGGACATACCCCAACAGAAAGACGGAACGGTACAGAGTGGTAGTAAGTAGGTTTATTCACGTCTCACAAAAACACTCAATTATTAAATAAAGTGTCCATTGTAATGAAAAAGTACAGGTTGTGCATATATATCTTTTCCCATCTCATGGGTCAAATATTATACCTATCAGTCACAGGGCTAAATCAGGATTCGGGGGGG